CATCAGTATACTAGTAAAAAGATATTAAGAAGCAAAGAAAAGTCAGTTAAATATCTGCTACTAATAAAGTTCACTTTCCAAGAACTTTTTATAATTAACTAGAATCGTGCAAGTGTTAAATAATGAAAGCAAACAGAAGCTGAATTCTAAATTCTAACATAAAACAAATTGATTTGTTTCTGGAATGTCAAAAGCAATAAATGTCCAACTCCAAACATGCCTCAATAGAATCAGTGTAATTTCTTCTCTTCTTTTTCTGGATGTGGGATGGGAGTAGATGACTAGAAAATCAGAAGCAAATTCTGTTTCTACTCAATGAAGTCTTTTTGTATGCCAGGGGTTTGAATTCAAGACTTTGTGCATCTTGTTTGGTTTTCTTGGTCCTGGCTGGTGCTCTACCACTTGAGTCACACCTCCAGTGTGGTGTTTTGCTGTTTAATTGGAGATGGGAGTCTTGCAGGTTTTCCTGCCAGAGTTTGCTCGGAACTGAGATTCTCCAGATCTCAGCTCCCTCAGTAGCTTGAACTACAAATGTGAGCCACTGGCTCCTAGCCCAGCTAAAGTATATTTTTAAAAGAAAAACTTTAACAAAGGTATTTCTCCAGAGTTGAAGGTGGTGAGACATGGGGTTTTCTGACTTGGGAGACTCAGATGTGAAACTCTTTCACCTTCCTTATGTTCTCTATCTCTGAGAAAAATTTAGAAATGCTGACACAAATCCCCAAAGTATGAGTCAAAGTGGGCTCAATCAAGATTTCTGCAAGACTTTTGCAGATAGAACACATTCTCAGAAGTAATATATAATCATTGTTTCCTGTGATCATCTGACTCCTGACTATCAAAGGATAAAATGTGTCAATGTGACTATCTAAGGACTAGCTGATTTTTTTATACTGTTAATATTTTTTTATTTTTTATTGTGAAAATACTGTACAGAGGGGTTACAATTACATGGACAAGATAATGAGTACATTTCTTATCAAGCATTGTAGCCTCCTCCTTTGTTTCCCCTTAACATCCCTTCCCAGCCTCACCCCCCACCCACCAAAGTTGTAAAGTTCGTTTTTGGCATGACAACTTGTACTTCTCATTGTATCCTTATTTAAACGACTTGTTTTTCCCCTTCCCCTCCACAAATTATACCTACATCAAATACAGTGAAAGCAGGGGTTATACTATGGGGGAGGGACATACAAAGCAACAAAGAAATAATCTTATAAATGCGTTAGAAACAAATAGCTGATTGTTTTGAGTAAGCAGTTACAGTGCCACACTGTGTGTGTGTGTGTGTGTGTGTGTGTGTGTGTGTGTGTGTACTGGGCTTGAACTCAGAGCTGCCAAGTCTGTCCTTAGCATTTTCTACTCTGGTGCTCTACCACTAGAGCCAAAGAAAGCAGTTACAGTGCCACACTGTGTGTGTGTGTGTGTGTGTGTGTACTGGGCTTGAACTCAGAGCTGCCAAGTGTGTGTGTGTGTGTGTGTGTGTGTGTACTGGGCTTGAACTCAGAGCTGCCAAGTCTGTCCTTACCATTTTCTACTCCTCTGGTGCTCTACCACTAGAGCCAAAGAAAGCTCCAGGCTCACCTTCAAGCTTTTTGGTAGGTAACTTAAGGTAAGATTCTCATGAACTTTACTGCCTGACTGGTTTGGAATCTTGATGTTCAGATCCCAGCTTCCTGAGTAGCAAGGATTACAGGCATGAGCCACTGGCCCAGAGAAATCTTTTTATATGGAATGTTATCCAAGATGCTCAAGAGCTCAACAGGAGAGAGAAAAGAAGCACATGATCTTTAAGAGCCAACAATCTGGTTTATTAAAATGCAATTCCCAAATTCCAAAAACTAAATACTGAAAACATTAGATGTAAGATTGAAAAGCCAAAGCAAACAAAATTCTTGTCTATTAACACAGATTCCCAATGCAGTGTTTAACCTTAGGAATTTGTTTAAGTAAATAAATAAATGGGTTCTTGTTTGGCTTCATTGGCAAGTTCTGTAATTACAGAGGAAGACATACTTTGTTTTTCTCTTAAAAATGTCCAAAATGTCTCATTAAGACACAAATGACACATGTAGGACCTTTTGTTTTAATAACCCATGATTAATAAAATCTAATGAATCCATGTCATTTTTGACAGCAGTGCAAATTTAAATGTGAAAGTAATGATGTATGTCTCTAGGAATTTATGATTGTGGATGGAGGCTGTGCTATTGCTTATAAGGAATTAACAAGAAATATCAACTTTCTTTTCTCTCATGGTAAGGGTGTGTCTCCAGCAGTTTTCTTCATGCCCAAACCATTTGATCTTGAAACCTTTTCAGTATTTTTTTTGGTATCACTTATAGTGCTAGAAATCTACACTACGGAATTATTTTTACTCAAGAGGCTTAGAATCAGAGTTTGAAATCTAAAGGAAAAAAAAGGTGTTGGAATTAAAAACAGACAAGTCTTTTGGCTAAAGAGGTATCTGTAGGGCAATTTCCATTCAAGCCAGACATTGTGCATGTTGTTGATTTTCTTTCCTTTCATACTGTATGTTTATTGATAGACATCCACAAACACTAAACATAATAGCAGAATAAATACTTCACATAAAATTAATGATCTTTCTAAACACTAATTAAGACAAGTCTTCATTTTATTCAGTTTGAATGTGAACATCATTTAAAATGCGTGAAGAGCTCACAACAACAACAACAAAATGCCCAAGCATCATTCCATGCTAATGATTTTCTCCAATATAAAATAAAACATGATCTTCTTACCCATGAAGGATACAAAACCATTCAATCTCTCACTGACCCAATGAAAAAGATCTAGTTTTGGGAAGGAACAAAAATATGAATTTGAATCTATTCCTAATGATATTCTAGTGTGATGATCCTTGAGAGCAGCCCTGTAAGCAAAATTGGAATTCGAAGTATATCTGAATTTCAACTGCACATTTGCCTGGTTATTTACTGATTCTCAACAACCCTCTTTGAAAAAGATGATTTAATAGAGGCTCTGAAAAACTTCTTTGGCAGCATTATAATTAGCCATGATGATGATGATGATGATGACAACCATGGTGATGATTACATGGGAGAGAAACCTAGTGACAACAAATATTCATTTTCACCAAATGAATCAGTAGTGGATCCTGAGACTCTGAGACCTATTCGGAAAAATCCATTTAATCATAACTAACAAGTGCAATCACAATCTGTCCCAAGCCTTAGTACACCAAAGTACCTGGTCCCTCACTCCCCAAATCAGTTACCACTTCACACGCATCAACAGATTCTACAGTGATGAAGCAAAGATAAAATCCTGTCTTACTATAGTTACTAAGTTTAGTGGCTACTGTTGCCTTTTTCTTCTAAGTCATTTGCTTCTTTAAATACTTACCATATCTGTTTGGGGATGATCTAAAAACAGCTGTTTTTCTAAGAATTGTCTATATAGTTCTCTAGTGTATGAAGACTATGCATTAACAAGTTACTAGAAGGGTAAGAGATAGAGGGGTAAGATTGGCATATACATCATGAATGTGTGGAAATGTAACATAAAATTTCCTCATCTATATAACTAATGCAAGCTAGTAATAAAAAAAAATGTTACCTAGGCTTTTCAGTAGTACCACACAGTAGGACTAAACTTTTGACTATGAAGAGAATACCCTTGAGCCATTTCTTCTCACAAAGGAGCTGTGTACTTTACAGAAATCAAATTCAAAACGCTAAGCAGATCAAGAAAACACAATAGAAGAAAACAGAATGCAATTGCATTTTATTAACTCTAGTTTTTTAAAAAAACAACCTTAAGTATCCTGACAGATTCTCCAATACTCCAACTGTCACAAAGGCATTACCTAGTAAAATATGCTGCAATACGCTCCTTTGATTGAAGACCATACAATATAGTGAACTCTATAAAAAAAAGAAAAGGAAGTGGACAAATGGATTCTTACTACTTTTCTAGAAAAGGCTGTAATTTTGTCACAGGTACACAAAGGCAGGTGTGACTCACAGCTTTCCCGAGTCGTACTACATTACTTCCACCCAGAGGTATTATAAGTACGTTCAACATACACATGGTTTTAATTCCGAGAATAAACTATGATTTCATGACACATTTATTTGAAATCTAAACCTACAACAACACATATTAAGAGCAATCACTTGACATACTGTCAAGAGAAGAAAAGATTCGCACACAGCTTTCCCTGGACTCCTGATTTAAAAGGAAAAAAAAATGTACCAATGTTCCCATACACAAATGAGAGGATAGGGAACGGCAATGAAGTGCACCATATGTTCCTATTGTAGGCTGAGTCCGGGTCTTTGTTTCGATTTACTAGAGCCACTGTAAGCAAAGCTAAGTGCTCATCTGTTCAAACATTATTTTCAAGTGATTGCTAGCAAAAGTTACACTTCTGACAGGTTCAGCCAGCACCTATCCGATCCCGACTATGGGCGCTTTTGCATTTGCTTCTTTCATCCAGGTCTCTCGCAATTCGAGAAACCTGCAACACAATCGCCCTGGATATCATCATCACCAGGTCGGGAGCAGGACAATCGGATAAACCAAGGCAAAGCACAGACATCGCAGAACGCAAAAGTTGTTTTTCCTAGTGAAACAGTTCCGAAGTAACCCCATAGCAAAGACATGTTTTGCTTGTTACCAACTACGTACCTCCCCAGATTCCTCCCACCTCGTTCTCGAACGGCCAGGTTCCTCTCAATCTTGAGATCTCCCAACATCGTTCTCCCGAGGCTACTCAAACCCCAAACCCCAACCACGCCCTTCAGACTCAGGGTCAAGCGATCTCTCTCTCCCTGCCCCCCCCCTCCCGCGCCCACCTCTTCAGGGTCCAAACCCTTGCATCTTTGATCCGAATGGGTGTGCACGGGTGTCCAAACCCCGAGCAAGCAGACTCTTTTCCCAAGGCTTTGATATTCCTATTCAAAGAAGCTTTCCCCGGGCGGGGCAAGACCGGGAAGACACACCGCGCTTACCCCACGCACCTGCCGCCCCGGCGGGATACTGAGGCTGAGCTAGGGCTCAGCGCCGCGCTTGGATCGGGTGGCTGCTTGGGTCTCTCCCGGGAAACTACCAACCAGGCGGCGCCTCGGGCTCGGGCCAGGGATCAGGCCCCGCCCCACACTTCCAGTTGGCGAATTGGGGAGCCCTGGCCCCGCCTTTGCCGTGGCCCCGCCCCCTGCCGCCGCAGCCGTCCTGGCTAGTGCGCCTGCTGGACCACCTTCCCGTCCCGCTCTCACGCAACCGCAACCGCTGGGGCTTTGCCCCAGAGCCATTGCACCTGGAACTCCGCGCGGGCGCCTGGAGTTCAGGCTCCGCCCGGAAATGGAGCTAGTCTGCTCTGGTGGTTCAAGCGGGTCCCCGCACCTCGCCCTACCGCTACCCGGCTATTGCCCGCAGGCTTCCTCGCCGCCGGCGCAGCGCTACCAGCCCAGCCACCCCTCGCTCCCCACCGCGGCCCCCCCCCTCCTTCCGTCTTCCTTCCTCTGTTCCGCGGTTCCGCCCCCTGCTAGAGTGAGGTGTCTGCGGGTCCGTCCTGCGCCCTGATTGGTGCAGGTGAGAGCCGGCCCCGCCCTTCCTCTCTCTTCGACGCACCCTCTCTTCTTTATCACACCTCCTCCCGCAAAGACCGGGAACTCTTTTCCTATTGGTAAGAGATATCCCCACCCATCACCTTCGGTTCCCTCGCAATGCCTGTCGGGAAATGTAGTCTTCCGCGTGCAGGAAGTGTAGACAACGCTGGCTAATGGAACTACGAGTCCCCATAAGCCCTTGCGCACTCCGGCAGGGCAGGATTCCGGACAACGCCTGGTTCCTCTCGGGTCCTTCCGGCGTCGCCGGAGTGAATCGATCCGGGAGTTGAGGGGGGCTCCAGAGGTGGGAAGTGAAGTCGGGGTCTCAGTTGCCGGTAAGCTGTGCTTTGGAGGTTACCATCCGCAAGGAGCATCAGGGGTGTGGGGGTCACTCAGGGGCCGAGGCCACAGCCCGGGGGCCCGGTCGGTGGTGGCCGGCGGGGCGGCCGCGAATGCGGCCGGGAGCGGGGCCCGGTGGGCGGACCGAGGTCGCCTTACGCGAGCTGCGTCGGGCGGGTGCGGGCCGGGCCGGGCCGCCTCCCGGAAGACCCCCGGGGGCCGCAGGAGGGGAGGGCGAGGCCGGCCTGGGTGTCCTGGAGCTCGGGGTGGGGCGGATGTGCCCGGGGTGGGGTCCTCCGCCCCGAAGGTGTGGCTGGGGGGGGGCCAGGAGGAAGGAAGGGGTGCTGGCGGTTGTGCTCCCGGGGTGCCCGGGTTCTGCCCTGCTGAGGGAAGAAGGGAGCCGGAGGAAGGAGGAGCCCGATGTTGACAGATCTGCGGATTCAATTCCGGGTTTCTGGGAAGGAGGAGATTTCCCCCCTCTGCCCAGAGGCTGGTCCCTCGGCCGTGACACCCCCGGAGGAGTGGCTAGCGGGGCACCGAGGGCTACCCACCGGGAACCCGGGCTGTTAGTGGCGGGTCCAAGGTCACACACCCCGGGTAAGAGCTTCTCCCGTCTGGGTGAACTCCAGGCTCCAGAGCTACAGGGGAGTGGGCTTTTTGTTGTTGTTGTTGTCGTCTTCGTTTTGTTTTAATCTGAGGTGTGGAGGAAGTTGCCAAGTAAATGGTATTTTGTGTATTTCCAAGCAGAGGAAAAGTTGTGTTTCTGAAGTGGGCTGAAAAAAATCCCTCACTCAAGGATCCTTTTTCATCTGTTTGAAAAACAAAAACAAGGGATCAGCTTCAGTTTAGATTTTTTTTTCTCATTTTAGTTGAGGAATATGAAGTGACAAATGCTACCTTCACAGATTGTTAAGGCTAGATAAGGGCTAGCGTTATGCCACCTTTGCACTTAAAAGAATATTTCTTTCCCTTCCTGAAGTTCTTTCATTTTGTATGACTGAGAACAGTGAGACTGGTACTTTCACAAAACTTACTTTAAACTTTCCCCCCCCCCCAAATAATGCAACTTCCAGGAGAACACATCGTTTTTTTAGTACTATAAAAATGAGCACAAAACAAGGTTAATTTCTTGGAACATGGTTTTGCTGGAGATTTTTCCTTCTCCCTTGTTTGCTTTACTTGAGCACACGGATGTGTATGTGTACAATAATAAAGTTGGACTCTTGCATATTTTATCTTTCTTAGTGACATCTTTGAATTTTAACTCATTCTTACACTAACATCATTCTTACATTTAATCTTGCACAGGAAGTAGTGTGCTTTTTTAGAATTAACCTCCAGTTATGGACGAATTATCCAATTGTTGGATTTTAAAATAAATAAGATTGTAGGAGTGTTCATTAAAGTTAGGATTTCCTCATGATAAGTTTCTATGGTTTATTGTTAGAGATTCATCATCAAAATGTGCTGTATTTTCAAGGCACTACAAAATTAAAATTTTTAAATAGAAAACATTTCCTAGTATCAAAAATATTTTGCTTTTCTGGCTGAAGTTAACTTATTTTTAACATGAATAAACAAGTAGAAATTAAGGAATGATATGGTATTACAGAGTGAAGTAAAATCATAAATTTTAAACCGATAAATTTTAAAAGAAGTATACTGATAAGAAAGAGCCATCTAGGGGCCTGGGAATATGGCTCAGAGGTAGAGTGCTTGCCTACCATACATGAAGCCCTGGGTTTGATTTCTCAGTATCACATAAACAGAAAAAGCCAGAAGTGGTGCTGTGTCTCAAGTGGTAGAGTGCTAGCCTTGAGCAAAAGAAGCTCAGGGACAGTGCCCAGGCCCTGAGTTCAAGCACCAGGACTGGCCACATAAATTAAATACCTACCGACCTACCTACCTAAGTCAGCCAGCTAAAGAAATGGAAAGATTGTGTGTAGATAACTAAAGGGCAGGCCATAAACTGGATAAAAGTCATTGTAAAGTGAAGGCTTTTGTTGGGGAAATGAAATGATTTCTTCTAATTGGCATGCAGTTCTATGGCTATGGAAAGACCTTTTAACTGCAAGGAAAATTTGGAAATCAGTAAAATTCTTTTTCTGTACCTTTTCTGTGTATATTAGTTTTAGTCTTTGGTTCATTTCTCCTAAGTTCTCTTCATCTGTGAGGTTCATGGTACCTCACCTATGCTAGGATGGGAAAGAAGTGTTCCTGTTGTATTTACCGTTTTGTAACTCCAGAGTTGTATTTTTGTTGTTTACAGACCACTAGCATCTGCATTTGTTCTCATAAGGAGTCTTATGTTAGCTTTGGATATCATCTCATATAGAACTCAGAATGTCTTCCATATACTTTTGTCTCTTTCTCTTAAGGTAGCAAAATTTGTAAGAACAAGGGCTATATATGATTATCATTGTTGTGTATATTATTATCATTGTCATATCAGTAGTAGAGTAATAGAATCCCAGTTTACAGGGAATGGAAGATTAGTTGAGTGACTTGCCCTGGATCCTATGATATGTAATTGTTGGAAACAAGTTACAGTCCAGATTCTTCTAACTATAGATCTTTTAATATTGTGAAGTAAAAGCTTAGTTCCCAACCAGGCACTTAGTGGCTCTCACCTGTAAGTCTAGCTATTCAGGATGCTGAGACATTGGAGGATTGGGGTTTGAAGTCAGCCTAGGCAGAAATGTTTGTGAGACTCCATCTCCAGTTGGCTATCAAAATGTCAGATTGGAGGTGTGGCTCAACTAAGTAAAGTTCTGGGAACAATCAAGCCAAGTGAGAGCATGAGGTCCAGCCCCGAGTTCAAGCCCTGGTATTGGTACAGAATTTGTTTTTTCTGTTCCCATAGATTATTTTATGCAAGAAAAAGACTGTGATGTATATTCAGTTATTACCTTCTAACTGTATCTAATGCTGACAATGTATCTTCTGTCTCCTATGTAGTCCTTCATCCTTTGGCATTTATCATGACTTTCAGCTTCTTCTTAACTTGGGGAACTTTTTATCTTGGGGACCGTTGCTCTACCTGGACTGTTTTCTCCTCCCTTTCCCCAAATCTGGCCAACTTCTGTACAGTTGCGAAGTGTCAGTTAAGATGTAAGATATTTCACCTCAGGAATGCTGACCTGCCAGCACACACCGCAGTGAGTTCCCATCCAATCTTTCCCCTACTCTTTTCCTTCCCACTTTCACAGGAGGAAGTCATTTGATAAATATTTGTCTTCATCACTAAGACAAAGGCACCTAAGCACGGTCTTATTTGCCCTGGGTCTTACCATACCATTGACGCTGAAGAATACAGTAAGTATTTGCTGAATGACTGAATAATAGAGACACACTTCAGCACTCTGCTCCCAACAGAAACACAGAAATAAATAAAGCTGATGCTCTTCCACTTTATAGCCAAGTGAAGGATGAAAGATTTCACAAATGAACCAAAGTTTAGGTTAGGTTAGATGAAAAGGTGTTGTTGCCAAAAGCAAATTGTACACAATTGTACAAAAGAGCCGATTCTTTCTGGAGATCTCTAAAATCTGAATAGGTAGTTTCCTTTGTGGGAATGTGTAGTTTTTATTTACAGCTGAATTTCTGTAGACCTTGCTGATTCCCTCCTTTGAGCAGGCATTATTATTTATAGCCAGATAGAAACATGAAAGAAAATTTCAGTGGGTTCTATTCTTCCTCTGTGTTACCTTGTTTTTATTTTTTCTCAAAACATTCACTGCATTTAGGTAGTATTAACATTTACTTTTAGCTGAAGACACCAAAGACATAAGAAAATGTAGTTAGTAAACTGATCAGGCACCATGACTGGCAAAACAAAAACAAAGAAATGCAGTTAAATTGTTAGAATCAATCTGAGAGAGGATGCTAGAGCCACAATTTGGATCTGTCTTGAACTTCACTTCTTTTTCTTGTTTTAATGGTGCTTTGTGACACTTACCTTTAGGATCACTTGCTTCAGTTGCTGTGACTGGAAAATTGAGATGTTCTTGTTTCAGGTGTACTTACCTTTTGTCTCTAGAAAATGATTATAGTTTGCATTGGGTCTTAAAGTAAACAAAATAATCTTAACAAGAGTAAAAGCATCATTTTGAGCACATGCAATCAAAATTTCAGGGATTTATTAGGTT